CACAATAACCTCAGTACCCATATTCTAGCCATCTTCTTACCCAGATTCTTTATAAGTCTCTCTCTTATTTCCAGCCAGCAACTCAGATAGATTGGTCTGCCCAGGCTTTAGGTGTCTAAAGGATACTCTCCTCTTGGTTCATACTTTTAGAGCATATGTTCTTTTTCTTCAGTATGACAACCTAGCAGTTTAGCTAGTGTGTTCTCCGCTAGCAGACCTAATCGCTCGGTTCTCTGATCTCAGGTCCCAGTTCAAATTTAGCCTTCTTGTAATATCGTCAAAGATCATTGCTACTCCCAATTCGGGACTTCCCAAATGGGTTTTCGGTCATTTTCAAGGCAAAGACCCATATAATAACTATCGATATGCAGAATTTATAAATTAATAAAATTAAATTATTTTGATTCTCATAAATAAATTAATTTAGCTCTAAATACAGTTAAACATTTCTAAATACACTTTCTCTGAACATACAATACAAAAAAAACCTCTAAATGCATAAATTTTACCCTTACTAAATACATATCTTCTTTTGCTTGCCTTTACTAAAGTTCCAAGAATGTGCGTTTAGAAAGGTTGATAGTATGTGCTTTGGTAAATACATGTAAGTTTTTTTTTGCTATAGTCCCAAGAGCATGCATTTAGAAAGGTCTAAATAATATATGCGCTGAATTCGTAAAGATAGTATATTTATCGCATGCCAATATCTATTAAAAAGTAGATTAGATTAATAAATTTCTTTTTTGCTAGCTGTATCCAAAAATTATAAAAGAAGTGCAATAATGCCATATTATCTTTAGATTAGTATCAAGTTAAAAAAATTTTCTTATCTATATTCAATAAATTAAAATTTCAATACCTAAATACAATGAAATCATCAACTGCATTAGTAAAAACTTACTATTATAGTGATATCCACGTTAATATGCAAGATACTGAGTGTGCTGTTCAATTTTTTGAAGAGCTTGGTATTTTTTTTCTAATGCATTTTTGTGCACTATGTAAAAGCTCTATGTGTAAAACTAATGATAAGTCCCGTAAAGATAAATAAAAGTGGATCTGCACTTCCAGAACTGCTTGTGGCCATGTAAATTCTCTAAGATCAGGAACGTGGCTTGCTAATGCCAAATTAACTCTTAGTCAAGTTGCTAAAATTTTATTCTGCTGGTCCCATAAATTACCACAACAATTTGCTGTTTTTGAAACTGGTGCTAGTGCCAGAATGATGGTTGATTGGTATAACTTTTGCTGTGAAATTTGCCAGGTAGTCCTAATGAATCAAGAATATAAAAAAATTAGTAGTGAAGGAAAAGTAGTAGAAATCGATGAAAGCAAGTTTTGTAAGCGTAAATATAATAAAGGAAAAAGAGTAGAAGGTCAGTGGGTCTTTGGAGGAGTTGAAAGAGAATCAAATAAAATATTTATGACAACAGTTCCTAATCGTACTAAGGAAACATTAATGAAAATTTTAGAAGAATATGTAGAAAAAGGAACTACTATTTATAGTGACTGTTGGGCAGCTTACCAAGTAGATGATTTTGAAAAAAGTGGATGAAAACTAGAATAGGTTAACCATTCAAAAAACTTCAAGGACCCTAAAACAGGAGTCCATACGAATACAATTAAGTCGACTTGGCATGTAGTAAAAAGTTCTCTTCAGCGATATGGAACAGTTAAAAACCTATATGATATTTATTTTTTTGAATATATGTAGAGGCGACAATTTGTTAAAGAAAATTATGAAGCATTTAATATGTTAGTAAAACATATAGTATTATACAGCAAAGAATTAACAGAGGCAGAGGTAATTAAATACTTTTTAAATAAATAAAATAAATTTAAATTAAATTAATTCTATATTTACCTTTATATTAACTTTAGATAACTCCAACTCAAGATTAAATTCGAATGATCAAAAAATAAAAAATAAATAGAACTAATAAAAGTCTAAATTAGAAATAAATAATTATATAAAATATAATTTAGTTTATACTTACTACAAATTAGAAACGATCAATCAAAATTTTTTGATTAATCAAATAATTGATTAATCGTATATTCTCCTCCTATAATAAAATATAGTAAAGCTTTAGATCGAATTTAATAATATACTACATTACAATTAATAAAAAAAATTGTAGTTAATAATATAAAATAATTAACTATTGAGTAATTAATTATTAATATACAAGACCCCCATGATAATAGATCCACCACGTAGTATACCCGGATATGAATCATAGGATCTATATAATCAAACATGAATTTTTCAAATATCTAAATTGCCTATTATAAATGAAATATGTACATACTTTTCAAAGTTTTCCTCTTGGTGACATGGACTCTCGGCTGTATACTAGATCCAGGGTCTATTATAGGTCTTAAAATTGGTAAAATGTAAAAGACCTGGGTCTTGTATATAGTGATTTACGGTATTATCATCACTACTACAAATATCCAGACTAAATGACTACCACAGTACTATTAATGAAATAAAAATAAATATATAAAATAAAACACAATAGAAACTTAAAATTTATATAATCATACTAAAACTTAGCTTCAAATAATTTATCCTGCAATATCTCTCATATCATTAACGTTTATACAATTTTCATCATGAAGTATTTATCTACAAAATAATAGCATTTCATTCTTTAGACCCATTATATGATGAACCATCAATTATTATAGTTTGGCTGGAGAAGCTCTGCTAGTCATAGTAATAAAGATTGTTTTGAATAATGCTCAAATAAAAATATGAATACAACGATACATATATAGTAAGAAAAATATATACCTTTGAAATTAAGGAATCTTTAATATAAATTAAATGGCTAAACAATTAGAAAAAAAGAAATCGAAAAAGGAAGTACTTTAATAAAAGATTAAGCAAAAAAAAAAAAACTTATGCTTCTTTATACTGCTTCGCATTTACATCCAGTACTGAATAAAAATAGCAAAAAAAATAAAATAAAATAAAGAGGTAACCTAAATATTAATAGCTTAAATGAATAACAAAACAAATAATATATGAAAAGAATACTTAGCTTTGCTACAGCTAATCAATTCTAAAATGCAAGAGTACTTAACTTCGCTACAGCTAATCAATTCTAAATTGCAAGAGGAATACTTAGCTTCACTATAACTAAACAATTCTAAATTAGATATTCAGGAACGTTCAAATTCAATAATACGAAAGTGAAAAAAGCAAAACACACTCATATAACATAGGTACTCTTTGCATTAGTACGTAAGTTCTTCTAAACTTCAATAACGCTAATTCTGTAATTCATTGTTACACCAATCTAGTATAATTCATTATCTAGTATAATTGATACGCATTACCTGATTTTTGTTATATTATTTCTGACCAATCAAAATCGTTATGTGATTATATCAAGGGTGACAATTCATGATTATCACTGGGTTCCTTGTTCTTCAAGTCTCCCTTAATTTCATGGGCTTAATTTTAGTTAGGTCAGTTTTATATATCTAAAGTTGCAACTTCAGATAGATGGTAACTTTAGATACGACAATATGTCAACAAAAGACTATTTTAGTATTTTTTCATTTAGAAAATTAATATCTTATTACTTATTTTCCATATATTCATATTTTGCTAACCTCTTTTATGCATATTATGATCAATTATCACACTCACACTTCCGAATTACTAATATCCTTAATTAATTACACTAATAACTCAGTTCCAACTTATGATTATCTATTCCGACACATGTTCTAAAGGTCACATGAGACATCAAGTTCATATGCCTTTGGATATTAAAGGCCAATTCAACTAAATACGCAATACATCCAATTTTTTTTTAGATATATATATGTATAAATTTTTAATATACTCTATCTAATATATAAATTTTTTATTCTACTTTATACTAAACGTATAATTTTTTTATTAGTTTTATTACAAAATGTATAATGAATAAATTTAGTATTATACTTGTTGTAGTATACTATATACTATACACCTTTAACCAACTATACTATACATGTTATTGTAATACTATTAATATATATTTTGTATATAATAAACATGAATTTTTTATATATTTTGTATATAATAAATACAATTGAGTATAAATTTTTATATATTCCGTATGTAATAAATATAATTGAGTATAAATTTTTATATATATTCCCGTATGTAATAAATATAATTGAGTATAAATTTTTATATATTCTGTATGTAATAAATATAATTAATTCGTGATCCGCCTAAGAACTAGTGACAAAACATAGTAAACAATGGAGATATGTTTACTATATATTTTTTTATTGTCTTTGGAATCTGGAGCTTCCCAAAGAAAAATGATTTTCTTTGGGAAACTCCAATTCCAAAGACAATAGTAAACATCAGCACTTTTACTATGTTTTGTCACTGGTTCTTAGGCGGACCACGAATTAAGTATTAATTCTATATCAACAGTAATTTCGTATTTATTTAATATATTTATTCAGTATTAATTTATTATATAACCTTATTATTATATATATATATATATTATATTCTGTATATTATCTGTAATTTTCTTTATTATTTTCGTAGCTATTTTTTCATAGTGACTCTTATTGTTTCACAGCATTAAATAGCTTTTGTATGCAAAGGAGTTTCAATGTCTGTTATGGTTTCATGGTCTAAGGGAATTGATTTAGCTCTAACATGTGCCGTTCAAGATCTAATATTGTGTTAGTGATGAAAAATTACCTGATTTTAAATTTTGGTCTAATTGATGAGCTAAAGCGTAAGTAAAAATTTTATTGATTCTAAAATTATCATACTTGATCCAAAAATAATTAAATTTGACAAAAAATTTTAGCATGATTGAACATGTTAAAAAAATATTAACATCTTGTCATAAACTAAACTATTTAATTGAATGTTAGAAATAATCTTATGCCTTAATTAAACTTATTTAAATTTTAAATATTGAACAAACCTAAGTTTAACTCTTCTTACTTTTCTTAATTTCTTCTAATTATACATGTACTACTTGTTTGAACATTATATCTTTTACTCTTGACAAATAATGAATTGTAAAGCCAACATCGCTTAATTTTTGAAGTACTACTTCATGTGAAATCTTTTCGTTTTCAGCTAATTCGATCAAAATTTTCAACGAAAGAAAGCAATTCTTTTTTCGCTGTAATTCGGCTCTTTTGGCTGGTTCTTGTAATGCTGAAACTGGAACAGAATCTTTAAACATTGTAATCTGTTTCTTTTCTCTGTCAATATCAAATATGAATGTTTTATCTTTAGTTTGTTGAATTATTGAATTTGCATAATTGTAAATAGAAAAAATTTCCAACCAATCCGAATCTATTTTTGTTTGTTTACAAATTTGATCCACATTTTTAAGATATTCATGCCAAGTTTTATCATTATATTCAGCTTTAAAATTTGGTAAAGTCGATATATTATAATTAAGTGGCAGAAAGTTAGGTTTAAGTGGCCACAATTCGTTTCAAATAAAGTTCTGTTGATGTTTTACAAATGTCGACTTTTTTTTTTGCTTTCTTTTCCCTAAAAAAAAAAAAAAGGCAGAATTAAATTCAATTTACTATGTAGACCTTATAAACTCCTTAAATGTACGTACGTTGTAAGGTTTTTATCTTCAAATTCTTCGTTAAGATTTCATCGCCGTCACTCATGCCGACCTTATGTAAAATAATCAGACTTTTAGGCAGTTTTGGAAACGATAAAATGAATTTGGTATAAATTTAAGGGAATTTTTTTTTTTTTTTGAAAATCGTTAAATAATCTTATGTCGTGAAACGAAGTTTTGCATAATCTCAATTTTGCCTAATTTAACGTTAACAAGCTCTGCATAACGGTCAAGTGTAATGTTAAGGGATCTACAAGTTGCAGCACATATAAAATTTATAACGATCTATATCTTACAATATAACCAGTATTCTTTATTATAATAAAAATTTTTATTATTTCATATTTATATACTATCTATATTTGTTCCCTTTACGTCAAAAACCTTTGAAGTATCTTATTTGAAAATGGCGTTTTGATACAATCGACGAAATCAATCTCAAAATTTGATTGGTTGGCATTCACGTTTATCACGTTACTATCTATATAAATTTAATACAGCAATACGTATAATGGCAATACATTTAACATTTAATTGTTCTCGGTCTATCCTATTTAATATAGATTGAATTGCCATAGCCCATTTAAAGATCTAAACTGGAACTTAGAGGATTTTTTTTTTTTACCTATATATTTAATAGAAATAAAATACGATTTTGATTTTGATTCATATAAACTAATTAGTTTCTACCACTATTTACATTTATGTCAAAGTTTCTTATACAGTATGCTTAAGTATATTTAGTTCCATTTTTTAATTAAAGAACTTCAGAGTTCTTCTCCTGACCGCTTTTCTGAATCTTTAATACAACATTGTTTCATCAGGTTCACATAACATATTTTTTGTACGTATTACCATGTAGTTCAAAAAATATGCACCCCGAAAATAAGCACCCTATAATTTTTTTATATCCGAAAATAAGCAGTTATCAGATTAGAAACCCGGTTTTCTTGTTATGTTATATCCAAAAATAAGCACCCCTATAACAAAAAGAGGGGTGCTTATTTTTGGAACTATACGGTATTTGATATGCATTTGACTTATAATTACATAATACAACTTTGCCGTTGAAAAAGTTCGGTCTTGGGAAAACTGTGCAATACGGATATCAACTAACACTAATACTATCTTAAACAACACTCTAAACTACTAATCTCTATCCGAACCCTAATGTTGGTAGGCAGAAAGAGGCATGGAGAGACTTGGTCCGAGTTATTAGGGTCAAATAGAGCTCTAGACTACGTCACGAGGCTCTATTAAGGAATCACGGGATTAGACTACTAATTCTATGTGACTTTGACTTATCGGGGGGTAATTAGAGCGATACGTTTAGGTTGGACAATAGACTCTCTATGAGTCAAACTCTAATGAGTTGTGTCAACTCTGAGTTATCTTTATTACGGGAGAAGAACTCCCCTTTATATATTTAATTTTACATATAATGGAATTCTAGGAATCTAATTTATTCTCGCTATCTAAACTATCCCAGCTATAAAATATTATTCTTTGAATAATATTTTATTCCCGTTATTCAAGAATTTACCAGGAATCACTAGGATTGTACTACATTTAACTCTAAAATTAGAACTACAAGCCAAAAATAGAATTTAGGGATCGATTTTGCCCCTCACACCGTACCGTACAATGAATGATTAATGGTCTGCTTCGTATTCAATAGCTATATATATTACAGTATCAAGTTTACGAAAATGCACCTATGGTGTTCAACACCATAGATCACTATTTCTCAAAAACGTACTAAGTAAACTGGATCGGGTGCTCTAAGTAAACCTCATGAAAACTAAAATTGGGACTTTATATCTAATATATATTATATAAAAAAAAAAAAAAAAATTCATAAAAATGCACCCTAACCCTAAATTTTATTAAAAACAATTATATATGGTGTTGAACACCGGGAGCCCTAATTTCCCCCACCAGTTGTGATTGGACGCATGAAATACCGTCTTCAATTGGGTAAACTAGATCACGCCACCTTTGCGCAGCTGTAAAATCAAAAGCATCATTTTCAAAAAAAATTTCAAAATAAGCGAAAGTATTTATTTATGCACCTTCAAAATTCTTTATGCTACTGTAATAAAAAAAAATCGAAATAATCTAAACATTAATGAAAATAAGTGCTTCTGACACAACCAAGAAAATCTTATAAAGTCTTTTGTTCAGTACTTTATTCTCAAGAGAATAAAAAATTTGCTGAGACCTACGTTTGCAAGCTTGTAATTTTAAATATCCAACTCTGTTTCAAAATTCCTTAACTATATTCTGGCCGCAATTTTACTTTTGTTTAAAAAATAATCGACATGAACATTTGAAATATTTTAAATTCATTTTTATTGATACTGTTACAATAACGCAAATAAATAAAATGCTACTGAAAATTGCTAATTAATATATATATATATATTTTTAATACTAATACAATAATGTACTCAAGCTTTCAAAAGCCATTTTCCTGAATAAAAAAATAATTAGTCAGTATTATGTTCTTTCGGGAAAATAGCTTTTAGAAATCGTACAGTACCCCTAACACAATATTTCAATAGGTGCTAGTTTGCTAATTAGTAATGCTGAAATAAATGTTATTAAAACATCTGATATGAAATATGAAAACGATGATTCAGAATTGCCAAATGATGCTGGTAGTTTCCAAAATGAAGAACGGATAATCTTTCTGCCAACTGTCAAGAAACTCAACAGAATACTACGGCAAATTTGGAAAACAACTCAACAAATAATAAAATAAAAACCCTTCCGTCAAACTTTTCCAATTTTCTTTATTTGAAAAGCGATAACTCCACCTAGAAACAATCAATCAACTTAATGGATCGTTTCAATTAGCAATGGCTAGAATTACTCACTGCTAAGTTGCTAAATTTTCATATGTTTACAAAAACAAAGCAAATAAACTAAAAATTAATACTTATTTTGTTTTCGGATTTTCGTATAACAGTATGATTTAAAAAAGTAGGTTAATAAAAATTTATTCTAAAAAAGACTTGAAAGTGCTAAACCCCAAAAGAGCAATTATTTAAAAAAAAAAATTTTTTAATCAATGTAACCACCCTTGATCAATGATGTAATTGGTTTTGTCCAATGAAAAATGATATTTGTATTCGTCCAATGGGAAGTGGTGGGGAAATTAGTAAACCCGTTGAACACCATAGGTGCATTTTATAATAATTGTACAGCGTTACGTAAAACAAATCCTTATTACACAAACTCAAATATACGAAATCAATAACAATAAGTTATGAATATACTTATCGTAGCATAGCGGGCTTTCATTCTGATTGGATAATTTTTGTAGATCATTTCGTGATTTTACAAAATCTGATTGGCTAA